GTTATACATATATAATTGGGTAAAGGCTAAAACATGTATAATTGACCCCCAAAAATTTTGGAGGCTCTGTTACATATCTTATATCGGAACACCTTCGACCTCGAGTACTGCTGAAATATTGTTGTTATGTTGTGCAATCTTTGATCGTCTATTCGAATCTCCTCAAGACCATTGGGAATTTTTTGTCGGTTATCTCTACGTAAAAATAGCAAAAAACAAGTTTAATTGTGGAATACCGAGTTAACCGAGGATATGGACCCATTAAATTTGATAGTATAAATCATAATTTATATATATAGATATATATATATATATATATATATATATGTAAACAATAAATTATATTATATGGTATGATCTTATTATCTATTTTAAGCCTATTTATTATTTATGATGTAGTATTTTAATTATCACACCTTTTAATTAATTAAATAAGATAAAAATATTCGTTTACTTAAAAAATCATTTGAGGCATCTAAAAGAAAAGACATAAATATTGATAATAATTTTATATGATTATATCTTAAACATAAAATGTAGTATTTGACCAAAATTTAATAAATAAATATAAACTTAGTAAAAGATTTTTTTTTATTTTGCCACATACTTATGATTAGGGGTGCTCAAAAACCCGATCAATACAACCTAAGCTAACGCGAAATAACTTAATCCGAAGCAACCCGATGTCTAATCGAGTTGTAAAATTGTCAAACCATAGGTATTTGGTTGATATTGGGTTACTATTATTTGGACCCAACCCAACCCGATGAACCCGATATCCTTTTATTTCTTAGATTTAATATGATTGTTGAATTTCTATTAATATATACATTAAACAATTACACTATTATGTAATCTCTTCATATACACATAATTTTCAATTTATTCACATCTCTATATAACTCATTCGTATATACGTTCAGTAACTGTGAACATATATATATAAATTGTGAAAATTAACTGAATGTGATATACGTAAGAAGCATGGATAAGTTGTAACAAATGGCTGATGATAAAAAAAATTATGAGTAGAGAAATATCATATTCAAGGTTAAAAAATTATTTTAATGTACCAAAGTATCAACCCGACCAACATGACTAACCCGTACGGGTTGGGTTGGGTTGCACTTTGATTTGGGTTGGGTTAAGATTTTTTCAAACCGCAAGCATTGGGTTGGATTGTTCAAATGTCTTCAACCCGATCAACCCAACCCATGAGCACCCCTACTTATAATAGGTTTTCATTTTTTTCAGAAAATGTTAAAAAAAATTAAGGGAAACGGATAATCAAAGTAAATAGAAAGCAATCTCTTATTTTCGTGGTTGATCCTCGTTCTTTGATGGGGACTTAATCGTATTTTGTCGTGGGGAAGGGAATGGGGATAGGGATAGAGATTGGGGTCCTCGATACTCCCCGACTGGTTACCATCTCTATTTTCAGACCTCATAAGATTAATCTTGGTGTACAAAAGTTGATCTGAACACCCATGGTTACCAAAGAAATAACTCGTTAGTAATAATAAACGATTTGTCAGGTTGTTAAAATAACGAGAATACAACAAAAACACGTATAATAATAACCAATACACCAACATATCTCTTCAATAGTTGGTGCATTTCAGTAGGACCATTATACTTTTCAGTTGGAACTTCTCATAGATCCACATTAAACTAAAGTTCTCACTCATTTATGTATCAAACTTAGGAGCCTAATATTCATTGCCTTTTGGCTCAACAATCATATTATATTTATCTGAATTAAAATGCTAAATCAGATTAAACAAACCCATATAACTCATTCAAATACAGGATTTGAAAAGGGCTGATAGATGAAATCATAACCTCTATCCGAAGGGGTAATCGATCATTTCCATAAAGACCATCGACTTATACAAAATTGCACTTCGTCTAAATGTATATATATGCCAAAGAAAAATCTACATTAAACCATTTTTTAGAGTCCATTTCACTGCTTATTTAACATTCTTGTTAGCTTATAATAACAGCAAACCAACCTCATTCATATCAAAGTGATGATTTCTTGAGATCAACGTTATCATATTCGATATACCCTTGAACCCCACATCTGGTAGGAGTTTCTGTTAGGATATGATATCTTTAGGTAATCCTCTTATAAAGCAACTGGTATTAGTATAGGATTGTTCTTTTACCTTTCTTATTCCTCTAATCTTTTCCATATCTCGATGATACCTTCATGGTATTTGGTAGGAATCTCTCTTTTGTGTGTCTATGTATAAGTTTTGCTATCTAATAAAGAAATAAAGCTTTTGCCAAACGGACATCCAACAAAGGCACATTTACGACTCCTATGTGCAAATTTACCACCCTTTGCCTTTTGGTTATGAGCAAAGCACCAAAAAATCGTAAATCACCAACGGTAGGTGGATGCGAAAAGAGGATTGTGTGTGGGGTTTTATTGCCAAAAACACTAGAAGGCGTCCGCTTGATTATATAAGCATCAAAAAAAGCACATCCCCCCCCCCCCACAAGAAAATAAAATGGTATACCACCCTAAAACCTCATCGCATGTGCGACGATCAAAATGTGCTTATGTTTCCTTTCTACTTGTCCATTTTGTTGAGGAGTACCCTTACAAGAGGTTTGAAACAATATTCTATTAACAAGAGATGATCATTTGGACATTTAAAGTCAATACTATTGTCACTACAAACAATCTTCATTTTTTGGAAAATTGATGATCAGTCATAGCAAGTATCGATGAAGGACATGAACATCATAAAATATATTGTATTATCCATTTACAGATAAATCTAACCAACAATGCAGTGGTATTGGTTCCTTGCGAAAATGAGAGAAGTCAAATATATACATAGGAAGAGTTCAAATGAAAACAGATTTTCAGTTATAAACCAGGGGACAAAGGAGAGCGTAACACATGCCTCACACCTTCACGGGTTATTCATCATGAATAATGTATCATTCATGGTAAATGTGTATTATTCATCATGAATAAAGAATCAATTTAACATTAATCATGACTGTGTATTATTCATCATGAATGTTGTATCATTCATCATGAATATTTCATGAACGTTCACCTTCGTTATTCATACTGAATGTGGACGCTGAAGACATGTGTCACGCTCTTTTTATCCGCGGTTCAGAACCGAAAATCAATTTGCAATTGAATTTTCTCTCTCTCTCTCTCTCTATATATATATATATATATATACACACACACACACACATCTTAAGAGCATCTCCAAAATGGAGAAAACGGGGATTTTGAGCAATTTTTTAAACAGGTTCTCCAAAATGGAGAAAGTAGGAGAGACGGTGTAAATTTTTCTAGATCTCTCCCAAAAAGACTACCATGAGAGAGGAATATTTTTTATATATTCTATCAATAGGTAATCTTCAAATGAAAATTTTATGAGAGAGAAATAATATTTAATTAAATGTATGAAATATTTTACTAATATAATTAATTATGTAATCTCCAAAATGAGGAATCTATTGAGTTGAATGTAATTTTTTATAGAGATGCTGAACTTTGATTTTCTATTTTGGAAAACTTTTAAAGAATCTGTTGAAGATGCTAAAAGAATTGTAACCTACAAGAGTAAATCATATCTTATAAAACTAAATTGTAACTTACAAGATACTTATAATCAATTGATTATAAGAGAGTATATGATTAGTGTTTGAGATTGATTTTGTGTATCTCGGTCAACTAATACCAATTTCTATATAAGATGATTGTATAAAAATATCATAAAGATATCATATCTTAACTTGAGGGTGGCGATGTGTTTGGATATAATATCTTTATGCAATATATATATATATATATATATATATATATATATTGCATAAAGATCTGAAGAGAACTCTCAAAAAAGAAATAATCGAAGAACTCATCTAAACGGTTAGATTATAAAGGAAACAAGTTTTTGTCATATACTTTCCGGTTTCCTTTCACAAATTTCCACCATTCTGCAATAAAATCTACAACCACATCTTCTGAACACCTCCAACATATCGGTCTCAGCAGGGCCTTCTCAATCTTTTTGTAGGCCATGTTACATCCGCACTAAAACTATAAATGGATTATACACAAAGTTAAAATACAAAATTTCATATCATAATATAAATCTTACAAATTAAAACAAAAATGTTCAAAATGACAAAGTAAGAAGAAAATCAAAGAGTCGGTTTTGTTTTTGAACAGCAAATTTCTGAAATCAAATTACCACTTCTAATTTATAAAGAAATTAGATAGATTTTTGATGTGGTGGATTCACAGGTCGAGTCATATAAATACAGCTCAAATACAAATAAAATTGGATCCCAAGTATTTTGAAACCGTAATAAAAAATCAAGATTTAACAAGCTAATAGTCGGCACTGCGTCTCGATCGTTAACGAAACATAGCTACATCTTTGTCAAAACTATTGTTTTGTACAACAAAGATGAAGAACTTACTTTGAATCTGGATCTTGCCCTCATCACACTTATTTTGTACAGGTAAAACTGTGATACATTTTGACGGTTATTAATGGAAAAAAGTTAATAACATTAAATGTCCTATAATTGGATATTAACAATGTAATTATTTGTTTATTAAAGGCCTCTGCAAGTTTAAGTTACATTGTCATAGCATGTGAACCAAAAGATCCTCTCACCTGTCACTGGTGAGACCAATGTTAGCACCAAATAAGGTTTTAATAATCCTTAAAAAGAAAGAAAGAAAGAAAAAGAAGTAAGACCTCAGATCTCATCAGCCCACACACGTACTGATGGTTACAGACCACCACACCCCACCATCTGACCAGTGACCGCCCCCTTGGTGCACCACTTTTGGAGGACTAATTAACCAATTATCACCGATTTATTGAATATATTGCATTTGGGAACATGGGTTGGTAAATGTCTTCATACCTTGCATCCTTTTTTGAAATTTACTCCATCTAATAATCTCTCTCTCTCTCCCTCTCTCTCTCTCTCTCTCCTCATTAAGTGTCACAAAATCCAGAATCACTCAGAAAAAACACGTAGAAAGACAGTCGGGTGTGTGATGTAATTTCTTTTCATCACTGTATATGATTTCTTGGAGTTTCTTGGGTTTCTTGTTCGTTTTTTAGTAAAATCTTGAAAAAGGGGGATCTGGGTGTGTTAAAATACCTTGCTTTCCATCTGGGTTTCCAAAGATTTTGGGGGGAAAACCCAAAAGATATAAAGATCCAATCAAACCCTTATTAGGGTTAGTTCCCAAACATTCTTGAGTCAGAAAGCTTCAAATCTTTTCTCAACAGAAGCCTTTGGGAATTGATGGTTAAATCTCCAGGTTACAGAATGGTAGGAGGGAATGGTTTGTTCTTTCCAATACTTGGATTTGCATCAATTGTTGCTTTTATTTATTTATCTTTTGGGGATTTATTGTCTGTAAGATACAAAAATGAGATCAGTTTGAGTTTTGTGGAGAGAAATGGAAGCAACTTCATTGTGGATGGTGAATTGTTTTACATCAATGGTTGGAATTCGTATTGGTTCATGGACCATGCTGTTCATTACGATAGCCGACCAAGGATCCGAGCCATGCTTCAAGCCGCAGCTAAGATGGGTTTGACTGTTTGTAGAACCTGGGCTTTTAATGATGGTGATTACAATGCTCTTCAGATTTCCCCTGGACAATTTGATGAAAGGGTATTTCAGGTATTTTCATTCTTTTGTTCCCTGTTACTTCATCTTCCCCAATTGTTTGGCTTTCTGTTGTGTTTCAATTTGATTCTAATGAATATATGCTTTGTGTTCTTGATTTATCAGATCTTCTTAAGTTGTAGTGAAATTAAGAATACCCATTTCAAGAATGTTTTCAAGAATGTTTTCGATGTGTCGCACATTAATCGAATAAATTACGGAATTACTTTAAGAGTTCTTCATATTTCTATTGAATCATCATCATGTTCATGTTCCATCCATGTGATTTGGCTTTATTCATCATGTTAAAGGTGTTATCTTGATGATTATTTATGTACAACCACTAATAATTATGTTGTTCAAGTTCTTGATGATCTTGTTTTTGCTTGGAATGTTTATGTAATTAATTGGGCATCGGATGATGTCACCAAACGAAAGAATCATCGAAGAATCGAAAGATCCTTTTTCATCTTATTGGTGGATATATAATCTATAATTCCATGGAAAACTTGCCAATTTTAGTAAACTAGACAATTGTGTATTTGTTTTCCTAAAATGCCCTCATTATAGTTGGGATTTTCGTGTAATGAATTGGATACGATGGATGTTATGACAGTCGTTGGATTATGTGATTGCCGAAGCCAGAGAAGTTGGAATTAGGCTTCTGCTTAGCTTAGTTAATAACTTGGATGCTTACGGTGGCAAGACTCAATATGTGAAATGGGCGTGGACTGAAGGCGTCGGGTTGAGCTCATCTAATGATTCATTCTTTTATGATCCATCGATTCGCATTTATTTCAAGAACTATCTCAAGGTACCATCAATCAGCTATACATACTTACTTCATTACAGCTTAATACTATATGTTCATGGCTTAATTCAATCAGCCAACTCATGGTTCCTTTACCCATCCAACCAACTTTTTCTTTCCAAAAATACCCTCTCTTATTTCTTCTTGTTTCTTGGTTCTTCCATTATGCAAATTGATCTTATTGCGGATAAAAACCAATGCTTGATTTTGTTTCTGATTCAAATTATTTTATTGTTGTTTTTCTTAATAATTTATCAAGATTTATTGGATTTGATAGTATTTTCTTGAGTTTATAAATTTTTGTTTTACAAAAATTAAATTGGATAATATGTTGTTGAGAGTTGAATTCATAATTTATATAATTCAGATTGTTTTAGTTCATACAAGTCAGCTTAATCCATATGCCAGGCTTAATACATAATTATAATCTCATTGCTAAGGTATTATTCTTTTTAATGTTGCAGACTATCTTAACAAGGAAGAACACAATAACAGGACTCGAGTACAGAGATGACCCTACCATCTTTGGTTGGGAGTTAATCAATGAGCCCCGGTGCATCACCGACCCTTCTGGCGACACTTTGCAAGTAAAGCCCGTCTCTATATCTCAAACACAATTGCACACAAACTATAGTAAATAAAAGGAATCCAAATTAGGCTCCTCACAATAGAGGACAAGTCTGTGTATATCCCAACCCCCAAACCCCGGACCCACCTCCAGGTGGGATATACGGGGTTCGTTTGGTTCTGCTTACTATAAACGGATGGCCAAACATGATACTTTTTGTGGTTTTGGCTTTTGTTATCTTGTTAATTTAATTTTTTTTGTGCATGAGTTGTATCTTAAGGCTTATAAACTGTGTACAGGGGTGGATAGAAGAAATGTCGACCTTTATAAAAGCAATCGACAATAAACATCTATTAACCGTTGGTCTTGAAGGATTTTATGGTCCTAAAAGTCCCAAGAGAAAGACGGTTAATCCAGAATTTTGGGCCGCTGATATGGGAGTGGATTTTATTCGCAACTCTGCGCCCTCGACCATCGACTTCGCCTCTGTTCATATTTACCCTGATCAATGGTAAGCTTTTCCTCATCTTTTCAGGAATTGTAAATATTGTTTTAGTTGAAGTTATATGAACAGATTTTGCAGTACTTTTGTTTGGATTGCCCCATGAAAATTACCATCTTCTTGGATTTAGAATAAGGCCCTAACACTTGAAAACGGTAGGTTAAACACGTCTCTACCTACTAGTTTCCTCCTCGCACGCCAACATCAAGACTTGCTTTTTTACATTTCCAATGTATGATTTGACCTGATTATGACATAAATAGGGGTGCATATAGCAACACCTTGAGCGAAGTCTCCCCCTTTTTGCTAGGTACTACCTTTCTATGACCTTTTGTCGGAACTTGACCACTTTTTGACTCTCGTAAAGGGCTGTTGTGAACCATAGAGCATAAAAAGGTGAAACTTTGCGAACCCCAGTTTTACGAAAATCCAAAAAAGCCTTCAAGATTCGGCCAAAAAGTCAAAAGAGGACTGAGTTCGCAAAACCCTTTTTGAAATTGGTGATTATTTCTTGATAGTTTTAAAAGGGTGTTGCTATATGCACCGTTGTTTATATCAGAATTAGGTCAAAATGGGTCAATTCATGCATTGGAAATGTAAAAAATGAGTTTTGATGTTGATGTGTGTGTGAGGAAAGTACTAGGTATTCGGGTGTAATTAATCTGCCCTTTTATGTTGGACCCCATCTGAAAAGGCTATTTGTGTGAATTTTTATGTCAAATGTGGTACTTGTGAGCTATGATGCATCTAGTCAAATACTGCAATTTTCTTGTAACAGAACTAGTATGACAGAACAATTTATGTAGGTTTAAAAAGAAAAGTCTTCGAGGAAAACTAAAATTCGTGGCGGAATGGATGCACTCTCACATCGAAGACGGGGAGCAAGTGCTAAAAAAGCCCGTCATGTTTACTGAATTTGGATTGTCCGATCTAAACAAAGGTTTTGACCCTTCACAAAGAGATGAATTCTACAAAATTGTGTTTGATGTTATATATGAATCAGCAAAGAAGAAAGGAGCAGGGGCGGGATCATTTGCGTGGCAGTTTTTGGTGGAAGGAATGGAGGATTTTAACGATGATTTTGGAATAGTGCCGTGGAAGAGAGCTTCGACATATAAAATTATAACCGGGCATACTTGCAGATTAGCGAAAATTCATGGGACGGTTACACCAGTAACAGGAAATTTGAAAGATATATGTAATGGTAGATGGTAAAACAAACTTATAGTTCTTATGATTTTGATCGAAATAATTTGTTTGTTTTTTTTGGGTTCGAGAGTTTGGTTTAAGTAGGCATCATGACACATGCTTTCATATGCAGTTCTTGCCATATGAAACAAAGATGGTCATATATACAGACTATATATATGTGTGTGTGTGTGTGTTTGTAGAAGTAAAAGAAAGAGCAAGTGTACCTATGTTGGGTTTTTGAAGCAAATTTGAGCTACATCGTTGTTCAAATCCAAGAATTTTGATGACTTCAAGGTCCAATTCTTCATCAAACCCAGTTTCATGCCATCAAGAAACTGTCAAGAAATTGCAAATCAGATTCACAAATTGCAATGCCATTAACAACTTTCTTGATCTCAAGGCCAAATCCATCATCACAACTCAGTTTTATTTTGATCAAAACCTATCTTAAGAATGCAACTTCTCAATTTCAAGAACTGCAATGATATTAAAAACGCCCATGATTTCAAGACCTGACCTTCATCAAACTCAGTTTCCAAGTGAAAAAATTCATCAAAAATATCAAATCAGATACCAAGAACAGCTTTCAAGTTTCAACATAACAAAGTAAAAATCATCATAGCATAGTTGTATAGAATTCAGCATTCTCAAAGGACTTTTGCATGACGGTAATTTCAAGCTCATATATATGATAAAGAAATAAAAACTATACTAAGATTAAAACATAGACTCATTCAGACATTTCATCGAACACTTCTACTACAACGAACTCTACCCACGCTTCACCAATCTTGGTGAACTCCTAGGAGATGCACCACCAGTTTTAGCTTCGCCCACCTTTCTCAATCGCTTATTTCCCTTCGACACGGTCTTCATTGGTTCCTCAGTCACAGTTTTCCGACCCCGAGTCCTTGAAGCGACTGTTTCCATCTCAGACTCACCATCCCCGGAGCTGGTCTTCGGACTTCTCTTTGTATCTGCAACACGTTCGAACTCATCAGAAAGCTTCCTCACCGGCCACTTCCTAGCGGTAGTATTTTCTTCACCCTCGTCCTCCTCATCAACCAAACCCACATATCGCCTCTTCCGCTTGTTAGCTAATGGAGCCGGTGGTGGTGATGGACTACGACTCCGATTCAAATCAATTTCCTTCTTACTTTTTCTTTTGCCCGAATTTTCCAACACTTTGGAAGTGGATTGTTTCTTCGACGACTTGGGTGTTAATGATTCCTTCTTCTTGATTGACTTCTCGATCTGGTTCCGAAGCTTCTCGACACTGCCTTCAATACGGCCTTGGAGACGGTGGCGCTGGAAGCTCAAGCCACCCATGGACCAGTGAGCTTCTTCTGCCCACGACATTAACGGGTCGAGAACAGAGACCGGTGGGTCGACCCGATCGGTGTTATACTTGATGTCTGTATAGATCCGTGGTCTTGGGAGGCTGCTTCCGTAGAACTTTCCAGGACCCAAAGCTACCACCATTGCTCAAATTTCACTGCAAAAACACAAATAAACAAAGAAAACCGAAGGCTTTTTGGGGCGATTAGGTCTAAGAAATGAATCTGGGTTGAGTGAATGCTAATACAGAGAAGGTTACCCGTATTATAGATAGCGATTTGGAGGGAATTTATGGCGGGAAGGATATGGCGCGCCAAATTTTGGGCGGGATAAGAAGAAATTTGGGTGGCAATAATCTTATTTTATTTTTCTTTTATTTTTGAAGAATGTAAATAAAAGATGGCATTTGATTTTGTAATTAGTGTCATTTATATTATATCTAATGGATTAAAATAATATTATATCATTTAATTTGATTTTAAATTTTTTAAAAGCAAGAGTAGGGGTCGTTTACCAAACGCTTATTCGGGTAAACGGTTACCAAGTAACATTACCTCAGCGCATAAATATAATAAGGACCAAGAATCTTACCCGGTAAAAATGAGACAGGCACCAAAAATCTTACCCGATAAGTGAGGGCGACGACTTTTATTTCTCATTGTCCTAATTATAACATATAACATTTAATTTAATTTAATTATAAAACTTAAAATAAAAAAGGAAAATTATTGATATTTAAATAATAGTATTTGCTTTATTATTTCGGTTTACACTTGAATTACCATTTTTTTTGGCTTATTTTTCTTTCCGTATTCATAGAAATCAATTATTATTTTTTTGAAATCAAGGTTCATGAATTGATGATACTAAAATATGAAGTAAATTGATAGGAAATTGCACTCGGAGTAAATTACAATTTTGGTCCTCGTAAGTTTGTTGTACTTAGATATGTTTGGATCTCTAGTATATGTTTCGATCGTTGGTGTGTTTTCCAATCCCTAGTGTAAGGATTTTCGCTCCCTGGTTTTGTGGGTTTCAATACCTACCTTTTTTTGGTAAATCCCTCCACCCTTTTTGCTAGACGTGTTCATTGGTTGACATCTATTGAATGTGAGAGGAACTGGACCGATCCAATCAGACCCGTTTCTGACATTTTTTAGACCATGGACGAGATGTATAAATGATTGGATCGGTTTAATTACATCCATTGGATACTTTTATTAGATATCCAATAGGATTGGATTCATCCATTGTGTTAATTCAAATCCAATTCTCTAACAATGATACAAATTAATTAATCATTTTTAATATGTGTAAAACCAACACAAGGGAAGTTCAAAATTCAAAGTCTCACATAAAACAAGTTCTGATTTAAGCAATTTGAAAATAAATTAAGTGGGTGATAGTAGGATAATGGTTAGATGGACAACTGGATGGTCATTGGATGATTAATTGGATGTTGATCGGTTCGGTTAGGTTTTGGTCGGTTTTAGACTGTTAACCTAGAACCGACCAATCCAAATTGGATGTTGAATTTTTCAATATGATCCGATCCAGTTACAATTGGATATACAATTATGTTCGGTCAGTTCTAATTTGATCGGTCGGTTCCAATTGGATCGGTTGATTTTCTGCACACCCCTATCTTCCACTCCATTTCCCAACCTCATCGCCATTATAATCACCAAAAACCATTGTTAGAGATGGAGTTCATTGCCACAAATAGTAGGGATCACGATGGAACAGATGGTAAGGTTCATCAAATCTGAAACCTAATCGGCTAAACCAATGTCAACTTAAAGAAAGAGAAAGAAACCGACGTAGTCTATGGTGAGGAGAAAGGGGTTTGTTGGTGGTGGTCAATCAAAGGTTACCGTAGGTAGAAGCCGATGATGGATTACCGAAGATGGAGGCCTACAGTCGGTTGTCACAGATGGATGAAACTCTCCCGCAGAACCTGTGATTTGGTCCTATAAAGACCAAAATACCCCTTATTTGACGGATGAATTTAACAGCCGTTAGTAGGAGGGACCAAAATCAAGCAAATATGAATACCACAAGGGTTTTCTTGCAATAAAAACTTTATGAGGACCCAAAGAAAAAACAACAAACTATATGGACCAAAAATGCAATTTACTCTAGTACTTATAATACTATAGTGGTTAGAAGGTTTATATTCAATAAAAACAAAAAAAAAACATCTAAACAAGGAAGAAGAAAACTAAAAATGATAAATAAATTGATAATTTGGTTTCTTGGAAAAATATAGTTAAATTGGCTAGTTTTGGTTGTGAATAAGATCTATAAAAGGTAGATGAATTTGTTAGACAATTGAGTTTTTCAATACACTTTCAGTGTACTGATAAACATGTGTTATCCAGCATAGTTGGCAACATGTCATTATTGCTGAAAACGGTGTTACGGAATAACAGGTGAAGTTGATATGTCAAGTGTTGTTTCACGACTTAGACAGTATTAAAGGAAAACCTTATGTGTCTCTTTCATGCCCGTTAAGGATTTTCTTCACACCCATGAAGAAATATAGAGTCAAAATTCTAAGATTTTAGCATCTTGATCAAGTTAGATTCCTCGTATCACTTAGTATAAATACACCATTGGTTACATCATTGTGAATCACGAAATTTAGAGGCTATAAACCCTAGTTTGAGGTAAAGAAAAGATTGAGATATTGAACACGGTTTAATGGTTCGGCTTGTAATTTCGATGTTCGGATGTTATTCCGTAATAAAAGTTCATCCTCTTCCCATTGACATCGACTACCGGTAAAACCAATGAAGAATGTTATAACTGTGGCAAGAAAGATCACTTTGCATCTGAGTGCCAAAATAATAGAATTGGGAAAATCAAATCCTCCTTATCTTCTAACCGATCACCATCTAGATCGGTGAATCATCGATCATTCAAAGCGCACAACTGATCTTCCTGTCAAAAATCAATTCGATTTTCTTCTCAACGATCCTGCCAAGCTTCACATGAGAAAACAAAGCCAAGTACAAGAGAGAGAGGTCAAAGAATGAAAATCTTCGAAAGAAAGGGAAGGGACTTATGGCTGAATCTCATGATTGGGTAGATAAACCCACTTCTTTCAGTGATGATGAGAAAGCCAATCTCTGTCCGATAGCTAGAATTTGGGAGATGGAAGATGCAGATGAAAAAATTCAGATGCATGACTCCTCATCAACAATAGTCGTTGTAGAAGGTTCAACTTCCACCGACAAGAATAAATCTAAGGTACACTCTCTTCTCTTTATGAATTTGACAAGAATGAAGCAATTGACTCCTTGACCATTGACTACTATAATATCAATCATGCAAAGAAGAAAACAGACTTACAGATAAAAGTTTGTTTCTAATCAGCTTCTAAAATCTCTCCCTCAACTTAAAGATTTTGACAAGATAAAAGTTGAACTTGAAGAACTCAGAATGATAAACTCTATGCTTCCCAGAGAAAAGGTTAAACTCCTTAAAAGGCTAAAAAGGGAGCAAGATATTATGAGTAAATGGACAAGTTCTTATAAGTCTTGAAAAAATTCTTCAAGACCAAATATCCTGTAATAACAAAATAGGTCTAGGCTTTGACAAGATGGGAATGGACTCTTCCCTTAATCTAAATGCTTCTACTTCTCATTCTACTCTTCATCATTTTCAAACTCAGAGACAAATGACACCATCTCCATAAGTTCCTCAGATCATTTTGAACCTTTAAAATTTGGATTACTTGTTAAAGCTAAGGAATCTGAAACTTCATGTTCCTTTGAATTTCAAGATTCAAACGACATGTCTGAACCAGTTCATGATTTGCTAAAATCCTTGAGCCTCTCAGAAACAACTTAAAATCTGAAAATTTTCTCAAAAGGACCTCTCAAAACTTTCATCAAAATCTTTCGACTGCCGAAAAAAGGGAAGTAGATAGTTTCCTCTGATAACTCCCTCGAAAGAAAACCTTCTTTCAAAAGTATAAGAAACCAAAACTAATGGAACCAGCCATTGAATTTTTTTTCCCTGATATGTGTGTCAAGAAAAACAAACTCAATATTTTCCTTCTTCGTCAAAATCTAAATGTTAAAAAGGAATTTTAGGACCTAAACAAACTTTGTGTCTTCAAATCCTCGTTTCTCAAAAGGTTCCCCTAATGGCAAGAATCGAAGGACAAATTCAAATCATGGAAATAGTCTCAAAAGAGTCTTCATTTATAGAAGTTTTATAATTGTGGGGGACACTTTCCATATGGCCAAAGATTGTCCAAAGCAACATATTATTCATGTAAATGTAAAAGATTCTTCCTCCTATAATCCTAAAGGACCCATTTCAAAATGGGTACCAAGAAACTAATTTCTCTATGATTGCAGGAGTAGAACATCAATAGATATGGTACTTGGATAGCTATTTTTTAAGACATGTAACTGGAGACAAATCCCTTCTTGTTAACTACATGCCCGAAAAAGTCCATCTGTGACTTTCGGAGATAACTCAAGAGGCTTCACTCGTGGTTATGGAACTCTTAGAAATGGTTAGGTAACCTTCGACAAAGTAGTCTATGTGATTAATGCATAACTTACTCAGCATTAGTTAATTGTGTGATCTTGGCTATAAAGTCAAATTCGAGTGCCTACACAACCACCGATAAAGACAAAAGGAAAGTTCTTTCTAGAATCGGGTGAGAAAACGTTTACATCATCAATATGAGTCGAAGTTCAATCCACGCAAATATTTTATTTCTCTCTGAAAACTCATACAAGAAAATCTAGTTGTGGCACATACGTCTCTCCTACCATAATTTCAAAACACTCACCAAGCTCTCTAGCAAGGACCTAGTTCTTGGCCTACCGAAAATCTCCTATGATAAAGAGAAGATGAGTGTAGCATGTGGAAAGGGAAGCAAACTAAGTCATCATTCAAATCCAAACAATGTTTATTTGTCATTCTTCCTCTTCAAATGCTTCATATGGATCTGTGTGGACTAGTCAGCAATCCAAGCCTTGGAGGAAAAAGGTACATCCTAGTAATTACCGATGAATACTCACATTAATCTTGGGTGCTTTTTCTTAGATACAAAAGTGACACAACTGATGAAATCACCAATTTTATCAAAAAGTCTAAAGTGTTAAATGGCCAACTCGTGAGCTCAGTTCGGAGTGACAACGGAATCGTCCTGGAGAACGGTAAATACTTCTGCTACGAAAATGGCAAAGATTTGCCTCCGTGGAA